GAACTTCCTGCATATTATGCACAAGACACCGCAGTAACAGAAATTCCTGCGTGCAAGCACCACTGACAGCATTCCGTGAAGGAAGTGACATCAGTAGCGCTTGTTACAAATATTAAGGCAGGAAATGACATTCACGGCAATCTGACAACACAGAGGTGGAACTGCTGTTTTTTCGCCCCCACAGACACGTTATAAACACGTATGTAACGTCTATATTAAATCATAGGTGGAATCTTAGGTTCTCCTACAAAAATAGTTTATAATGAATCCTGAGAAGCTTGAAATGGTCCTGAGTTTGAGATGGTCGATGATGTGGTCGTATATCAAATGCAAAGATTATTATTCTGAAATGAACTGGCGGTCGATGCAGAACCTATAATGGATTTGAAAAGGGAATTAGACTAATATTTGAAAAAGAATAATATGAAAGGATACAGGAGAAAGTGCAGGAGTGGCAAAAATTAGTAAGTTGTTTCAGAGTGTCAGCATAGTCATGACAGGCTGAGTGGCCATTTTCTGTCCTGGTCAATTCTATGATTTGAACACACCTGATAATAATCCCTCAAGAAAGAAATAAAATAAAATTTGGTCAATTCAATCTACGATTGCTGTGCACAATGGCTGCCGCGTTTCACCCACAGATATACAGTCAATTCATTTTACAGTATATTCTGTGAAGCACTTTGAGATGTCTAGAAGACATGAAAAGCGCTATATATCAAATGTAAGGATTATTATTATAAAACGGTGTGTAATTTTTGGGATCAGAGAAACCACGTTATAACAGGAATGCCATCTAATCTGTCAAATATGAAAATTACTTTTAATAATAAATGTTAGCAGAGTTCCAACTCATAACACAATGGAACAAAGATTACAAGCTTGTATTCAGCATTCCCCACAAATATTCTTAGAGGAGGACAACAAAATTACTGAGAGTCACCAGTCTTAAGGCTGGAAAGGAACAAAGTAGGAAGAGGGAAATACTTAATTTCTACCTTCGATCCTTGAAGCATTTGGTTTCTCTTCCCTTCTATTAGGCATGAAGGCCTTTTAGTTGTTTGCAGTAACCACAAATTGAGATTTGAGTCTCAACAGCAAGTACTGTCATACTAAAAAAATTCAGGGAAAGGGTGTAAGTTGCATCTGACAACTTGCATTTATATAGTGCTCTTCACACGGGATAGCAACACATACTATCAGTCAGGGTCAAAGGATTGTGATTAGAATGGAACCCTGTCTTTCCACAATGTTGATGGGGCTAATTGTACTATCCCTTTTTGCTGTCCCACTAATATCAACTAGACAAGGACACGTTGAACCTGGAACCTCTATACCCCTCAAGCTAGTTTTGGTCTAAACTTACTGAGCCATTCAGCTGTCAAAAACACAATGTAACCAAGGTTTAAAATTATTTTCTGAACAATATTAAAGAGAAATATTGTCATTTTGGACAGAGTGATCATATGTCAACAGCATCTTCTTGCCTGTTTTAAGGTTGTACATTATAGTGAGGTGCAATAAGCAATGTTACTTCATCTGGACCTAGGAGTTGGGATTTTAGCATGGGTGGAGAAAGTAAGCACATAAAACTAGAATTAAAAATTAATACCTTTTGGGCAGAAATGACAATGTGCAATGTGATTTAAAACTCAACAACTGGGCTAATAAATAATAATTCAACATCTTCTAAACTCAGTAAAGGTTCAGACATGAATAATCAGCACTTGGGTGAAATACCAGAGACCAATTGGCACCTATAGAACAATGAAATAGAACTACCTTCTTCAGAAGATGACTGGATAAAAAATTAAAAAACTAAAGGGATGACATGGAGCTTTAAGGAAAATACTTTTGAGTTCACTTTGAGACTAGAGCATTCACATGGCCAAAGTCTGCAATTTCCAAGGATTTGACCTTTAATAATTTTGCTAACAGTACAGTTATTGTTACACTGTACAGTACAATGTGCATGCATTCTTCAAAGATTTCCTCACACAAAGATACAGCAAATGAATGCAGCACAGTGGTCAGCTAGTGCACAGTGTGCTTGGCTAGCCAGTCATTGTGGTGAGCATAAGCTGCAAGACATGATTATATTTCAACAAAAAGCTTTCTTTAAAATACAGATGTACTTTGCAAATTTAAATTTTTAATGCAAAGGCAGATCAAACTCCTAAACATACAAAACAAGTCAAACACAATGTAATATCCAATCCACCTACAGAATACTGTCACTACACTCTACGTCAACATAAGAAATGCTTGACAAAAAAAGACCAAGGTCCATCTAGTTCGCCTTCCACCTTCCTGGCAGTTGCATGCACATATGTCTCAAACTACCTATGTGCTATATCCCATAATGTTATTTCCTAAACAAAACTTTCTAAACTGTGTTTGAAAGAATCAACATTTCCTGATTCAACCATCTCCCTCGGGAGCCTGTTCCACAACTTCACTAATCGCTCACTGAAATAGTGTTTGGGTACATTCGTTCTGAATGTACACCCCTTCAATCTCAGGCCTTGTCCTCTGGTTTTACTATTCTGGACAAGTTGAAACAGTCTGTCATGATCTATATTGCTTTGCCCCTTTAGAATCTTAAAGACAGCAATCATGTCACCTCTCAACCTTCTCTTTCCCAGCATGAACATGCCCAATTTACTTAGTCTCTCCTCATAGTCCAGTCCTTCCATTCCCTCAATCATTTGCATTGCCCTCCTCTGTATCTTCTCGATTTCTCCTTTTTGTACTGCGTCGACCAGAACTGTACACAGTATCTAACTATGGTCTCACCAATGATTTATACAGCGGCAGGACTATCCCACTATTTCAGTTTGCTATTGATCTTTTGATACGTCCCATCATCTGGTTTGCTTTACTCACTGACAGAGCATTGTTGGGAAAGTTTCAATTTATTGTCAATCAGAACCAACAGGTCCTTTTCATTTTCCATACATATTATTTTCCTTCTGTTCAAATAAGAGTTCCTTCTAGGATTTTCTTGTCCCAATGTGAAGTACTTTACATTTCTCCACATTGAATTTCATCTGCCCAATTCCCAAGTATATTCAATTCCTCCTGTAACCTCTCTTGTTCAGCTTTGCAATCTACCACTTTCATTAGCTTGGTGTCATCTGCAAACTTAGCCACTGTGCTTGCGACTCCTAGTTCCACATTATTTATAAAAATATCAAAAAAAGGTCCCAAATCAGACTCTCATGGAACCCCAGTCTGATGACATTCCCTGTACCACCACCCTCTGGGTTCTTCCACTCAACCAATTGCGTATTCAGTGTAATATACCTCCACTGATTCCTGCTTTTTTTTTTTACTTTGAGTACCAGCCTCTCAAGAGGAACTGTATGAAAAGCTTACTGAAATCCAGGTATACAACATACAATATATCTTATGAAGTGCTTTGATTCATTCTCAATTAAAGATCCATATGAAATATGAAGATTATTACAATTATTGTTGATCATTCCCCTCATGGATGATTGTGGGGCATTGCTGGGCACAAATTGGCTGTCGAGTTCGCCTAAAAAGTACTCAAGTCACTGCATATCATAGTAAAATCCTGTGATACTTTTCCATACATTCAAGAGGGTATGAAATGCTACATAAAATGCAAGGATTGCCATTTTTTTAAAAAATCACTCTTCTCTATTCTGCTCACATCTAGTTTTATTACCAAAACATTTCATGAACCCCCCTCCCCCCAACCTCAAAACAATATTTTGCCCATCTGTTTACACAGCCTCAGCACACAGCTTGAAAGGGGCTCAAGGCGGAGATGGGTGTCGAAAACGGGATGAGATTGTGAAGAAAAAAGTTGCTTAAATGTTGGCATAGCCAAAATCCGCAAGCTACACTTTACAGTACATTCTGCGAAGCGCTTTGCGACGTCTCAACGAAGCGATGAGGCGCGACATCAAATGCAAGGATTATTACTATCCTCCAAGCAGTTGCGAAGAGCCCGAGCCAGCTGGTTCTGCAGGAGAGCAAGGAGGCTTCTCTTAACAAAAGATGGCTGACATCAACACGAACGGGGACTGCCGTCTGCCTGGATTTCCATAGCCATAGTGAATGAAGTGTCCGCGTTTGACAGGAGAGGGGGGGGGAGGGGGAGGGGAGGGGAGGGGAGGGGGGCGACGAAGGCAATAGCAAAACGGGGGAGGAAGCTTACAAAATAAACACGAAGACTAGAAGCGGGGGGAGGGAATAAAAAGGCATCCGAGACACATATCGGTCCTGTTGTTCGATTCGGCTATTAAAAAAAGGCAGAGACAGAGAGGGAGAGGGAGAGAGAGAGAGGGAGAGATGGAGGGGAGGGGTGGGATGGAGGGGGGATGGAGGGGAGGGGGTAATGGAGGGGAGGGGGGGAAACAGCTCCACAAAACACAGCCGGTTTTAGTCTCCCGACTCTTGTTCCGTTAGAAGTCCTTCGTGAGATCGCTGGATCTCATTTTTTTTTACACACACACACACACACACACACGCGATTCACGTACACGCATCGGGTGATGATATCAGGGTAAGGACTGACCGGCTGAGTCGGGGGCGCTTTTCTTTTCTCTTTGCATCATTTATTTGGTGATGATGATGATGATTATTATTTTTACCGCCCGCTGCGGCCGACCCCCCCCCCCCCCCCGCGCGCGCGGCGGTGTATCTGCGACCCGGGGTGGGGGGGGGGGGGGGGGCGGTGGGGGAACGCGCAAGTCACTACACCTGGCAGACGTGGGGGGGGGGGGGGGGGGGGAGGGGGAGCGTCGACAACAACAACAACAACAACAAAAGGCGCCGTGTCGAACGCAAGGATGACTGTCAACCTGATCAAACCCTTTTGCAATTAGACACACACACATATATATATATATATAGAGAGAGATACACACATATGTGTGTGTGTGTATACATTATATATGTTTTTAAAAAAATCAGTTCACATTCACTCACAACACATACACACACAACACACACTTCTTTCTACTCACCCTTCGGCCATAGTCTTCAATGTCACTCATTCTGTTTTGGGTGGTGTGTGAGGGGAGGGGGGGGGGGGGGGGGGAGTATATAAATATATATATAGATATAAAGGTATCTATCTGTCTATCTCTCTATCTATGAGGTAAATTTGGCTTCAAATACCGCTGTTGTTGTTATTAATTATTATCCTTTCACCGCGCGCGCAAAGAGAAAAAAAATATATACTTCGAGAAAGAAATCACGGGCGGGTGTGCGTGTGTGTGTATATATATATATACACGAATAGATATATCCACACACAAAAATAACGCACCTCAAAACAACCCCCCCCAAAAAAAATTAAAAATATATATCTAATTGCAAAAGAAACCACTTCTCTTCCCCCTCCGTCCGCCCCCCCCCCACCCCCCGGGTACCAGGTGACGGGCAGCACCAGCTCGAGCTCAAGCTCCGACCCAACGCCGCCGCCGCCGCCGAGTGTTTGGCCCCCCAACAAAATGGCGCCCTGGCAACTGGCGCCTTTTATACAGCGCGCGACCAACCGCCGCCCCCGCCCCGCCCCCGCCCCGCCCCCTTCCCCCCCCACCTCCCCAGCCCCGCTCCCGCCCACCGCCAGCCGGAAGTACGTCCGCGAGCCGCGCCCCCCTCCCTCCCTCCCCCCCGCTCCAGCTCCCGCCCGCTGCTAGTCGGAAGTGACGTCAGCGCACCGCCCCGCCCCGCCGCCGCGGATTGACAGCAGCGCCCACCAATCAGAGCTCCGGATCTCTCTGTCTCACACTCACTCCTTCTCTCCCTCTCTCTTTCCTTCTCCTTCTCTCCTCTCTCTCTCTCTGTCTCTCTTCTCACGTCCTCAAAGCGCTTCGCAGAATGGACCGTAAAGTGAATGGACTGTATATTTGTGGGCGAACGCGGCGGCCGATGGCGCACAGCAATGTCCCACAAACAGTCGTGGATTGAAAATGACCAATTTATTATTGTTTTTGGTTTTGGAGGGAATATTATTAGGGCTCTGTGTGGAGTAAGGAAACTCGCCCGAGGTTTGGCCCTCTGCCTGGGATTGAACTCAGGTCTCTCACTTGCAAAGCGAGTGCTCTAACCACTGAGCTACAGGACTCCACAAAATCTTGTCGTTGTTGTCGTCGTTGCTGTTGAGTGCTCTCAGCGACAGGACTCCCTCCTGTGATTTGGCCCTTTCGAGTCAAAAGGTTCACGATCCACGTTAAGACTTGAGCTGATAGTCCAGGGTGGCACTGGAGTGCCGCATTGGGGGGAGAGCGCTGCATTGTTGGAAGTACGGTCTTCGGATGAGGCTCCAAACTGAGGTCCTGTCTCCTTGTTTATTGGGCGGGTATTTATGGATCCTGTGACACGATTCGGAAGAGAAGAGTGACTTTCAGTGTCCTGGTCTGTAACTCTCCAGATAAATTGGACCTTTGGACCTCCCCGTTGCCCCTGTGACCTTGCCGGTGCCGACTGCTACCACATTTGCTGACAAACAACGTCACCACGTTTCATAAGGGAACCCTCCAGCAATGGAGCGCACCCTCAGCGCGGCTTTGGAATGTGTCATCTTAGACAATATCAGTTCCAATTCTGCGTGTGGGGCTCGAACGGACATCCTCTGACTCCGAGGCAACAACTGCTACCCAGTGAGCCGGACTGCCACACTTAGAGAAAGACGCAATACCAAATGCAAGGATTATTATTTTTAAGCATTTGATATAGAGCCTCATCACATCTTCGAGACGTCTCAAAGCGCTTCACAGAATATACTGTAAAGTGAATTGACTCTGTGTTTTGTGGGCGAAAGGTGGCAGCCAATTGCACACAGCAGTGTAGCACAAACAGTCGTGGATTGAGTGACCAAATTTTTATTTTTTTCAAGCATTTACTACCCTGGAAACGATCCACCAATCGACTAATAACCAGTTTCCTACTTACTGCTTAGGTGAACAGAGCCATGAGTAAGGAAACTTGCCCAACTTTTCACGTTGCCTGGGAATCAAACTCAGGTCCTCTCACTTGCGAGACGAGTGCTCTAACCACTAATCTACAGAACTCCACAAAAGTAACCCAAAGGGCATGAAGAATTTGTATTTTTATTTCGCTTTATTGCATCACAAGTAATTACACTCAACCCTTGGCTAATGGGCAAATATGGAAGACATCCAGTCTGGCTAGCTGGATTTTCCGGTTAAGTGTCGATGCATTTAAAATACAAGTAAATATAATAAAATGACATTTACACTCTGTAAATTGCACATAAAATTTAAAATAAAACAAGTAAAAATAAATCCTCCCCAATATTTAAAATGAATGAAAATAAATTTTAACAGAATAAAGTAGCAAACACAATAAAATAGTAACACAAACATAAGTTTAATGTCTCAGAAACTAGAGGGTTACAATAGTTTGCGATAGTCACCTTAAATATTTGCACGGTAAATTGGTGCATAGTGACGCAATGATCTGATTGTAGTCTATATTCCACGTAGTGCAATAATGCTTTATGACTAGTAATGCTAGCTGTTAATTTGCACACTTTTAGAGAATGGTCAATAACTATTGATTTCCTAAATAGCCTTTAACTAGCGGAAATGTTCATGTGTAATTGGATAAGTGAAATTGCGTAAAGCTGGTTCCCTGAAGGTCTGGTGGGCTAAGCCATGTGGACCACATCAGGAGGATGTCTCAAAGCGCTTCACAGGATTTGCTTTGAAGTGACTGTGTATTCATGAGTGGACACGGTAGCCCAATTGCGCACAGAGAATTTACAAAGAAGGTACAGCATGGAAACAGGCTACACTATAACACAACATGTGGGAGCACTATGTAAGTTCATGGGCTTGAACTCACAACCTTCTGATGAGAGCGCCACCAACTGAGACTGAGACAGTCAATGTGAACAGTCACATGTGAATAACGGTCACTTGGGTGAGGTGTTAGATTGAGCAAAAACAGTGTCAGTGCCTCAATAATAACAATAATAATAATCCTTGCATTCGATATCCCTTCAAAAGTAAATTTAAAAAGAATAATAATTTGGTCACTCAATCCACTACTGTGTTACAAAGCATTTCGACTATAAATTGCAGCGACTGCATATTTTGTAGACAAATCCGAAAGCCAATATAGTCACAACTATGTCTCACAAATGACCTTGAAGTGAATACCAATCTAACTTGAGGATTGTTGGTCATGACACCAGGAGAAACTCTCTTTTCTCTTTGAGTACTGCCATGGGATCTTTAACGCTCACCTGACCAAGCAGATGGGACCTCAGTTTAAGATCTCATCTGAAGGTTGGCAGCACCTCCAACAATGCAACACACCCTCAGCACCGTATTAGAGCATTAGCCGAGACTAAGCCATTAGCCTAGTTCAAAGTCCTAATAATAATAGTAATCCTTGCATTTGATTTAGTGCCTTATTGCTTCTTCGAGACGTCTCAAAGCGCTTCACAGAATATGCTGTAATGTGAATTGACTGTATACTTTGAGGGCGAAACGTGGCAGCCAATTGCGCACAGCAGCGTCCCATGAACAATCGTGGATTGAGTGATCAAATTATTATTTTTTTTAAGGGATTATTTCCCCGGGAAAAGCGATCTACCCATCGACCAACAACCAGGTTCCTACTTACTGCCGGGTAAACAGAGGCGTGTGGAGTAAGGAAACTTGCCCAACATTTCTCTTCAATATTCTCTTTCTCTTGATGGTCACTCATTCCACGACTGTTTGTGGGACGCTGCTATGCGCAATTAGCTGCCACTTTTTACCCACAAATTATACAGTCAATTTACTTTACAGTATGTTCCGTGAAGTGCTTTGAGACGTCGTGAAGATGTGATAAGTCGTTATATCAAATGCAAGGATTATTATTATTATATTATATAAATATAGTGCCTTATCATGTCATTGAAACGTCTCAAAGTGCATCACAGAAGCAATATTATAAAGTATATTTGTTCTCGTGGATTTGTAAATGTGTTTTTGATATATAGGTAAGGGAAAAAAGAAATTAAAAAATCAGTTCAGTGGAGAAGGGATAAAAGTTTAGTGGGAGCAAAAAATAATGAGCAATTAAATACCAGGCTGGACTTGCAGGAAATTATTTAATGTGCGTAAAAACATTAATTATTTTAAATACACTTTATTGCTGATATAATTAAGGAAATCATAACTGTTGCAAATTACTTAGTTCACAAAATGTGCACAAGTTTGATTATGATTTTCTTCGCTGGAACCATCGATATTATTTTTAGTGCAGCAATTTAGTGGCGTTAATCGCAACTTTGCAAACAACACTAAATATATAAAGCAGACGAAGGGGTAAATGATGCAGATCGCGCGAAAGTTAAGGTTAATGTACTGTAAATTGTCCAGTTGTTGGTCAGCAATTACTTCCTTTTGAGGAGTTCTGCGGTGTTGCTTACACAGTGGGACTGTATAAAAGAGGTGATATCGCCATCCGGCACAGACAAAGCAGCAGAACTAGTTAACGGAATCCGAGCAACGACAAACGAGTGAAGAATCTGCAAAGGTAACAGAGATCTTTTAGCTTCTACTCTTCGCTTACATGAGGGAGAAGGGAACAGAGGGGTCTAGAATATACCTAATATATGATAATAATCTCTGTACTCGATAGAGCGCCCTGTCACGTTGTTGAGACGTCTTTGAAGAGCTTCACAGAATATATCGTAAGGTCACTGTATTTTTTTTGTGGGCGAAACGCAGCAGCCAATTGTCTTTTGCGGAATTGGATAACTAGAGCGCATCCCTTCGGGGAAGTTTCCACGGGTGGGTGGGCGCAGATATACGCGGGTCTGGTTCCGAGACGCCGTCCGGCGTGAAGGGCGCTATATAAACGCAAGTTGTTGCTGCTGCTGCTGCTCGCGGTGGTTCGGAGGCTCTTAAGTAGGGTTTCCGCACGTGTCAAACGCGGCAAGAAAAGAGAGGAGAGTGCAACGGAGAGAAAGGTTAACACAATGAAGACACGCCTTAGGTGTCCCGCAGTTTTCACCGATAGGAAAGGTCCAGCATCTGTACCGTTTGATTGGTTACG